TATTCACTTTACCAGATTGTCTGTCGCTAACAGCGACCGCTCCCTATTCTTGTTATTAGAATTATTTTAATTATCAAGAAACTTCTTAGCGTTTATTCATCTATCCAGAGAATTAAGACTCAAATATTTCGCGCCCTCGAAGAATTGTGACAGCTGAAGCTATGAAGATACTAGGGATGAAATTGGTCCTCAGCCTCTAGTGTAAATTAAAATGATTAATAAGTAATCCCTCTGAGCACAACAGCAAAACATATTAATAATAATGATAATAATAATACCGATAGCGATAATAATGATGATGATGATGATGATGATAGTAATAAATTCTTTTACAAGACAATGCTTCAGGAAAAGCACGCAAAGAAGTTACAGCCAAGGGTAAAAAAGGGATAACAAAAAGTTGAAATATACAGCATAAGACTATGTTAAACTTTGTTAAACCCACCTTCGTCGCGAAAGGAAAATGATAATGATAAATACAACAACACAAACGAACAGTAGGCTTCCACCTCCAGCAGTAATGAGAACAACCAATTTATCAAAACCATCACCACCTATAATCAATCAATCAATTAGTGTACCAGTCCATGCATGTTCAATAAATTTCAGTATTCCAAGAGGCGATAATTCGATTATTTAAACGAATATTCTTGTTTAGCTTTGTTTGTTTGTGTTTATTTGTTTGTTTCTTTTTCGGCCGTTCTAGGTTAATATTTTTTGACGGGTTTTAACAAGAAAATAGACTTCAAGAGTGTACTGTTCTTTTTAAATAGATAAAGATAGACTGATAAATTCATCAATTTGAAGATAAAAAGGATCAAAAGTTTCGAGGTTTCTCCAGTTAGGCATCAACAACAAAAAAAAAATGATAATTTGGATTCATCGTGTTGTTGGTACTTGTGACGTCAGACATACAGCTGAAGTGAAGAAGGAATGGTTTGTAAGGTAAATAACCTCTTCGACTGATCCATTCTGTCAGCCGTTTTACCAGTTTCCTTTTCAAAGTTTCAATGTGTCGTGATCATAAATATTCATGGTCGCCTTAGTAACGAACTGAGCCTATCACTAGTTTAACCACTTACCGTTTTGTACTGTAAATGTTTTTTCCCCGATAGGTCCTCTTCCATAGTTATTCTCGGCAAATACCTGAAAGTGGCGCAAAACTGAGTAGTCAGTTACATTTTTGTTTAAAGTTATTAGGCTGCGACACGCGAATAAATTATATGCTTTTGAAGATGGCGGGTCTAAAATACAAGTCGCTTTTCCACAAGTCAGACTACAGGTCACTATCATACAGATCAATGAACAGCATTAAAAGAGTCTCCTAGCCCTAATATCTTTAAAAAAATGGGGAATCTGTGTGGTTTGGTAATTTATCAATGGAGCAGTGAACTGTTCCCTTGACCTGTGGAATGTGACCATACCTTAGACCCGGCATTTTGAAGAGCAAGCGGATATATGAATGCAGTATGTTAACCCTTGAACGTACACATATCTCTGAAAGACCATGCAACTCAGAATATTTAGTAGTTATTGAATGAGGATGAACAGATCAAGAAGGGTGTTATCGGCCGAGGTGAATAACAACCTCCGAGATTAGCATAATTCTTCATATCCTATGAAAGCCGAATTCAATAATAGTTTTATTATGCATTCAACCTATTTCCAAAACCCTTAAAGAAGAACATGAGCTATTTAATTAAAATTATGCAAACTTGACAACAATATAGATCTAAAATTATTTTTGCTTTAAATTGTAGTTAAATAAATCAATAAATAAATGAAATCTCTGTCCGAAAAAAATAATCATTTTTTTTTTAAGAGAACGTTGAGAGACTCAAAGGTGCAGGTGTAAAAATTAAACTGCCTTGTATTTCAGGGCATGTGTGTTTGTACGTCTAGGTATCTGAGAATAATGTCCTCCTACGAGTTTTTTTTAAGAAATCCAAGCCCCACGCTGTTGGAGACCTGTTTAAATATATGAATACGAAAATAGCCAATCACAGTTAACTCTCTCTTAACGGATACCTCTGTAAAACGGATACCTAGAGTTGGCCCCCGCCTTTCTTTACTCCCTTTATTTGACCCCCTGAGAAGGACACTAAGTGCCGGTTCCCAAAGGAGCTCAAAGGTGTCCGTCTTAGAGAGAGTTGATTGTATCCTTTCCCGTCTTTCAACATTCTCTCTTCCGTTATGGATAAAGGTGGATGCTGGTTATGAGAGCCGGCAAACATCAAAACCGATATAAGCAACGATGCCACAGTTTGCGTTGGATGCTTCCTGACAGTACACAGTGCTAACAAAAACATAACAAAGAACTCTAAAGGACTTCATAACCATTCGACTTTATTAACTATGCTTCTGTCAATTCGGTACTTTGTGCGTTTGTGATTGAGAGCAAAAACAGAAGAACACTAAAATGCCAATAATGATAATAATCAATATACTAACAAAGTAATTAGCAGTAGAGGAAATATGGTGTTTAAAGTATACCTGAAATTCATACGTTTTTCCAGCTTGTAAATCTTTATATTCGTGTTTTGTCTTATTTGTTGGAATACTTCTTCTATCCATATAATTATCCTTTCTTACGTATGTCACTTCATAATTCTTAATAATGCCATTCTTGTGCTGTAGAGTCCAGGAAACTGACACTGTAACTTCTTTTTGTTCAACGAAGAGCTCAGGTCGACCAGGAACTACATTGTAAATTAAAAATATTGCCAATGAAGTAATAATACTATGTAATAATCAGATTGAAAAAAAAAACGCAAATAAGAAAAAAAAAAATTACCCCAAATATATGTATGTAAAGTACCTTCATAATGAACTGCTGGACAAACAATTGTCAAAAAGTCATCAGAGTTTAAAAGAGAATCCTGAAGTGCTGCAGAAACTAGCTTTGCATGGAGTGAAATCAATGGCTTTCATTTCCCTTATAACTGCTAACCTAGTAAAATAGAACTTTGCACAGTACGTATGCAAGAGCTCCGCTCTTAGGCTGATATAAATTTACTTGAACAGTGATTTATAAAACCTAGCAGTTTTTTTTGTTGGAAAGAGGTTCTTAAGGTTGGTGGTGGTAGTGGGGCTGTTTTTGTTGTTGTTATTATTTTCTTTGTTTGTTTGGTTGCTTTTTTCTTACTGACTTACCTGTACCAACAGTTGTCAAAGTTATTACAGCGGAGTCTCCTTCAATGCCATGCCTCCTCTTGGCCACTTCACTAGCCCTGTTCCTTGCGTAAATTTTGAACGTGTAATTAACGAATGGAGAAAGATTCGTCACCAACACTGTGGTTGTATTTAGTCCTTTATTGAAAGGGATGTATTTAACGTCATTTTGACATGGCTCCTCAGCACACGTCGTTTGGGCATCATTATTGCATGGTCGAAGGCAACTAACGTCATAAAACACGTGACTTTGATCACCAATTACTTCAGGAGACTTCCAGGTTAACCCGATTGCACTTTGGTTGAGAAACGTAGCAGTGACACTTCTTGGAGCTGATGGCAACTCTAAAGCGAATGGAAATATCATCATGGTTAGGTAAAGGCGTACACGAGCCAAAGGCCTTTAGAAAGGACCGGAGCTTTTTTCCGGTTTCATTAGCATGAAGCATAGTTAGGAGTATTGCTACTTCCCCCTCCCCCCTGGAGGGGATGCTAGTCTATGGCAGGGTCCCCCCCCCCCCCCCCCCCCC